AGCACTCATCATGGCATCTCTAGGAGATTCAGATCTTGAAGAGCAGCACGATGAGCTGTTAGTATTGAGCAGTATCTATGACGATGATGATATATTTATAGCGGGTGAGGACAATAATGGCGGGCAGTTTAACTGTAAACTGCAGATACCACAGCCGTTCTTTTTACAACTAAATGGACAGGCACAGTTGAAAGGTGAGGGTAACACTAGAGTCTGATAACTAGATGTCAACCATTGTGATTCACCAAGTACGGTTATACAATGTGCAATTATTTGCTGAGATTGAGAGTGAGTGAGTAAAGACTGTACATATGACTGATGTAATTATGGTATTCAAGAATTACAAACAATGATATCTCAGTGGCCGCTTGCATCAAAAGATCTATGATATACGAGTATTTGATTCTTGAAATAGAATCATGTAGGGTTTAATTAAATATTTAACACTATAGTGAATAGAACAAAGACGTCATATTCTGAAAAATTATGAAAAATAACATCTAAAAAATACTATGTACAAAGCACCGTCTGTGTAAACCTTTGGGTAGGGAGAACCTTTATTTGATTTACTTTGATTTATTTACTGTATTTTTGTAGTTATTAGACCTTTTAAATTTGTAGTTATTTTTAGTTGCATTACTTAGATTTTATTTTACACTATTATTTACCTTGCTGTATCCACAGCAGATTACAGTTACGTAATAAATTATTAAACTATATATTTTGTTTCACTGAAGGTGTGAAAAACGTCCAAGATGATGAAGGACATACCTTGTTTCCAGTGAAGCATTTACCACCCATAGTACTCAATTTCCAGTATCCACCAAACTACCCATCATGCTTAGCACCACAGTTCACCCTTTCCTGTAAATGGCTGAGTGTTCACCAGGTCTGTAGCTGTTGTTTTTTCTTTTCTCAAAAAAATTAGTCAAAACACAACATGATCTAATTCAAATTACTTACATTTGCCATGTTCTATCTGGCAGACTCAATCCAGAGTTATTAATCTTTGATGTTCCATAGACACTTTTGACACCGAGTTCATATCAGGAGTACCCAGTTGGCATATGCCAAAATTACATTCTCAGTAACATACCCCCACACTGGTACTGTTCCCTGATAAGAATTAGAACTGATTTTTTTTATGAACATTTCGTTGTTTTTGAAGTTGATAAATGCCATTACTAATTATTACTGAAAAACATAACTTCAGCAATGAAAATAGAATTCAACTCATGGTCTATTATTTCATGAATGACAACATCAGTGGTGATATCATGCAGTTAGTGTTGAATTATCTACGTATTACCATAAAATTAAAAACATTCTTGTGTATCAGAGATTTCAATCACCATATTTGCAGGGTGTCAGTTTCAGTACCACCAGATGCATGTAGACGCACATGCCCCGTTGGACCTTTAATTTTTAAGCGGACTGAGATACAAGAAGTTGCTGACTTGGCAGAGCATGTGCAGAGATTTAAATCTATCTCAATCTGGATTGAGTTTGCTAATGAGAATGGGGTTGATGTAGGTTTGTTTGTGATTACTATACTTATCACATTCCTGGTAAAATTTATGGAAACATTAATCTCAACCAAAACTCAGATTTACAGACTTACATAATATATTAGTGTTATTAGGGCATTTTACTGAAATTAAAATAATTTCGTCAAAATTTAGTACAGATTATTGCATCCCTAAATCACATGTATTGTTGAGGTGTCACATTTTTCAAAAGGTCAAAATGTGACTATTTAATACTAAATGGTAGCATGACCATCATATATGAACCTTTTTTGCATTTATTTAAATGAATGGCCTTTTAAAGGCGTAGTGTGTGTTCAAATTACATGTAAACAATCAATGTATTTTACTGGTGTTGTGTACATTGCTGGGAGTCCCATATTGAACAGGATGCAGCGTGACGACCACAACCCTTTAATATTATCAATCTGTGTAATATCACTGTATTTTCACAGTTGTCAAAGCTTTGTCACAAACTGGACGAGATCTGGGAAGAAAACAAAGGTGGGGTTGTGGTGTTCTTATGGACACAGTTCCTGTCGGAAGAAACTCTAGATATCTTGTCCATTGACTCACCACTAAATTTGCCAACTACAAACAGGAAGGAGAATCGTGTGGCAAGCAGTGCTAGGACTAAGGACTGTAAAACTGCTGACAGAAATAAAGATGATGCGAATGCGATTATGGAGATCAAGAAACATGTTGACCCACGCGCGATTCAAGATATTGCGTCACCCACGCTTCTGCTTGCCACTCTTGAGAATTATAATCAACAGGAACAGGAGCGTGTTTTTAATTCAGCCATATTTACTTGTAAAGTGTGTTTTGCCGAGAAACATGGTTTGTTGTGCATCTGTTTTCACGGCTGTGACCACGTGTACTGCCAGGAATGTATGAAGGAATATTTTAAAGTGCAAATTATGGAAGGGAACGTGAAATGTTTGAACTGTCCTGAGCAGGAGTGTGATTCACAGGCCTTGCCGTCACAGGTTTGTGCATTTTTGTTACAATTCACAAAATATAATTGCCAAAATATTTTTTTACATTTCTAAAAACATATTTGATATATTTTTGTAGCCATTGGAAAATTGTGCATTTGGAAAAATACATGAAAATATTCAAAAAACATTAAACTATTCAGATAAATGTATTATTTTTCTAACAGTTATAGTATGATAATAAATTTGATGATAGAAGGGGTTCACTCATTTTTTACGCATCAGGTGCAAGAATTGGTGGGACAGGAGCTATTTGCAAAATACGACCGCTTGCTGCTTCAGTCCTCACTGGATGGCATGGCTGACATTGTTTACTGCCCTCGTAGTCATTGTCAGTGCGCTGTGATGATTGAAAAGGAATCCAACATGGCAGTGTGCCCAGCTTGCGCATTTGCATTCTGTACTTTCTGTAAATTGGTCTACCACGGTGTGTCCCCATGCTCTATAAGACGAGGTGAGTTATATTAGAGTGATTGTGCTCATACTGTTAGCTGCACTGAATTCTACCATATAATAAAATCATGGGATATTTTCACTCATACAAAATGTTTTATTTTACTCACATGCTGCAAAGTGTACTCAGTCTCCATGAGAATAACCCCCCTGAATTTAGGGGTGACCATTTAAAATCGGAGGGGGGGGGGATCTGAAAGAAATTGGTAAATTTTATATTTTTTTCACACTACTGAACTACTTTTTGAACTACTGATTTTTTTCTGAGATCATGTCGGAACATTATTTTTTTCCCCCATTATTTTTTTTTTTTTTTCAATTTCAAATAGTTTGTTTCTTACCTCCATTTTGAATTAGGTAAGTATCCAAAATAATTCATAGCAACTTTTCCTCTTATATGTTTATATCGAAGATTTAAAATGATAAGAAAATAATTTGAAAGAATAATTTTCAAATCTTAATTTCATTTACAGCGGAACTGATGGAATTACGTGAAGAATATGAAAATGGTGATGATGAGAAAAGACAGTTTTTGGAAAAACGATATGGTCGCCGTGCCATCAAACAATCATTGGAGGAATCGTACAGCGAACAATGGTTGGAAGATAACAGTCAAGCATGTCCAAACTGTGGCACTCATATTCAGGTGATAATAGTTTATGTGACAAAGTTTATGACACTGTTGTATGGATTGGATATTATGTGTTTTTTTGGTGAAAAGTCGATGGATGGGCATTTTTGAGGTCTGGCACTGATCAAAAGTTTGGCACTGAATGTTTTTTTGTGTGTAAGGTATTAACACCTAACGTTTAGCATGTCTGACAACGTCAGGGAGATTGTGTGTTCCTATAGTTGGTTCCTTTGTATTCATATTTGGAAGAATGGCGCCTTTTTGGAAGGAGCGTAAAGTTGTCTTTTTGGAGGAAGCTAAAACTGGCAGTCCCATGTACTATTTCTATTCTCAGTGCATGTAAAAGACCAGCTGTGCTGTCTCTCAATTCCAAGTTTATATATTGACCTGACCAGTATGAGCAGATAATATGCATTTTCAATTGATAAATACTGGCTAAATAATAATTAATAACAAATACCATGCTGGATATTATACATTTGAGTTTAAGGATAATAGGAGGTAGTATTAATAATAATTTACATTTGTCCAATCTACATTACTACATCAACTTCCTATTTGCATATTGGCAAATTTCAAATAAAACTGCTGTTTTGTCATCTATTTTGTTGTCTGAAATCTGCCATTTTGTAACCAGCTATTTCCTCATCTGCCTTTTTGTTGTCTACCCTTTCACCATCTCCTATTTGATCTCCTACATCTATAACTGTATTGTCTGCCTTTTTGTCACTTGCTATTTTGGCATCTATTTTATCTATTGCCATTTTCCATGGTTTCCTCACCTTAATCAATCTCATCTTCTTTTGACAGAAAATTGATGGTTGCAATAAGATGACATGCACCAAGTGTCGTGCATACTTTTGCTGGATATGCAAATCTATGCTGTCTCGTACAAATCCCTATATTCATTTCAACGTACCTGACTCCCCATGTTTTAACCTACTCTTCCAAGGAATGGGGGAATTTGTTGGAGACCAGGATGATGAAGATGGGTGGCAACCACGGTGGTGGTTTGTATGACAACTGCATCAATTGAATTAAAATTGTAATATGGATGAGTTTACAAAATTGGATCTGATGAAGGTGGGGAATGAAGAACATGAAGAAGAGAAAGGAATGGGGAGGGGATAATTTAAATGATGGGATAAAATTTGAAAAATTAAAGATCATTTCTAAATGTTAAATTTTACATTTGGAATCTCGCAATCTTGGAATCTTAATGAAAACATTTCCAAACACAATATGGTAACTGTATATTTAAGTTTCATATTGATATTTGATTGAAATAGACAATTACTGAACTTTAACCCCCAATAGATGCCTACATTTGTAACAACTTCTCAGCAGAACTACAAGGATTGGAAACAAGAGCCACAGTCGTAGTGTCGCTTCACATACTATGTGGGTCCCATGCCATGTATGCAAATTACATTGTTTACACAAATCAAATACTGTTCTGTGATTACTGTGGTGCTTTTAAGGGACAATATATACTGTAAATTAGTTCGAATTTTAAGGGATAGATTTTTGTGAAATACAGCTGTGACAATGCGTCGGTGAATGACATCAAATTATGAAAATTCATTGCAATGAAAGTTAACGATTGTACAGTTCTTGGATGGAATAATCATTTCGAGTTTGAAAGAAATTCACTTTATATTGCAGTGTCCATGGCATTTCAAAATTCAGACGTGACTCATTGCTAACAAACTAATAAACATATATAGCGATTCAACCTACCGGTAATTGCAGCTTGTGTCCCTTTAAAAGTCAATATAGTTGATTTATAAAACAAGGGTATACAACTTTGATATTCATGTACTGTGATCTCACACTCAATGTCATATTTCAGACTAATGTCATCACATACATGTTTTATATCCAAGGACATCAGAAAAAAACAAACACTAACCATTTATTTAAATACTATTTGCAGTTGATTATTCTAGAAATGTAAGTTTAATGCAATGCGATTTTGTAATCATTGCAAGTGGGATCTTCATACAATGTCACACATGTTGCAAACCCTTTGTTTTATACACCCTTGACCATATATATATTTCAAATCATAGACATAGTTGAAACAAACAAAAACAAAAAACAAAAAAACATTGGATATATATATTATGTGTCATTATTATGAAAATAAAATATTATCCAGACACAAATTAATATTCACTAGTGGATAGATTGATGAAATATTGGAAGATCAAATTAAATTGATTACTGTGGTGATTGCAACCCACAAAATTAGATATAATTTAATTATTCAAGTCGGAATTTTCTGGAAATTTCTTTATGTTGATTTTGTGTTCACAGGGAATGATGCGATTCCCATAAAATTAAAATTATAGACAGGTGGGTGTAATTTGCATATAATTAACATAACAATGATCTTTTTATTTGTTATTTGCTTATTTAAAAAATCAGGAAATGTAAACTTTCTTGTGATGTGGACAGAAATCCTACTAAGAAGAATTGAAAATGTTATATAAATAATATTTTAAAAATTATACTTATGCCTTTTAATTTGTATGTAAATTATGCAATGTACATATCAATTTATTGTTCCAACAAACAATAAAATGTGGTAATTCTGCTAATTATTTATTTGAGGGGAGGGTCCCAACATTGGAATGAATTGTATGTTAAAACTTCTAAGATTAGAGATTTTAGAGACAAACTTTGAAACATAAGCTCGCATTAGCTCAGAACATTGGCACAGCTCAGAACTGATTCTCTTAAAATTTTTACACATAGATAGTATCTTGTCTAGAACATATGTACATGCATCAACTTTGTGATCCAATCAAAGATGTTTTTCCTCGATGAAATTGTTTTTGACTAAATGGCTTAATCTTAAACAACGAATAATCAGATTTTCAGTGCTTCATCAAGCATACATTTTCTTCAAGTTTAGATTGATGGTTAAACATGCAGGGTTACTGATGCACAGCGTGATGTACTGGTGGCCATTTTGTTTCTTGCATATTCAGAACATGTGGTACTTAATGAGAGATAACTTTGCAAGAGTTTGCAGATTATTATAATTTTTGAACATTTTTAGCAATATTTGAAACATGTCTATTTGAATCACCATTATGTACTTCTGAAATACAGCTGCTTTTCAAAATTGTTTTTGATTTAGTTGTATGTTGGTTTTGAAATTGAGTACAAATAAAGTGCTTTGAGAATGCTTTGACTGAGTTGATTCTGTTGATATAAACTTTAAGTGTTCTTACTCTGCAAATGACCCACTAGTTTGAATAAACATTGACCAATTTTCTACAGATTTGATGATTGAATATGCAGGTTTTGTTTTCATGCTTCAATTCAAAGTGGTCAACTGGTGGTAATTTTCTTTCTTGCATTTTGAAGAATGTACTTCCATACATAATAATTCAGACATGCCTAGAGGAACACTTCAACATTCATGGCATGCATATGCAGTCAGTTTGTCATCCTA